GAAACATGTTTACTTTCCTCTCCCTCTAAAGCCAACCTGTTAGTGTTCTCAAGGAGGGTCGACTCTTCCCTTGCCGCATAGAGCAAGCTGACTTTTGAGTCGACTCAAAAGTCACCTTGTTCTCACGGAGGGTCGACTCTTCCCTTGCTGCATAGAGCAAGCTGACTTTTGAGTCGACTCAAAAGTCACCTTGTTCTCAAGGAGGGTCGACTCTTCCCTTGCTGCATAGAGCAGTCTCAGACTCGCACTCCCCCCCCTCACTCACACGTATAGTACTATTCACACACACACACACATACACAGACACACACACACATATACACACATACACACACACACACACTCACTCCCACTTATACACAGGCTCACTCACACAGTCACATACAAACCATGCCTACACTCCAACTCCCATCCCCAATCACAATCAAATCATATTCACACTCGCATTCACGCCCCTACGCTAAGTGTGGAGGAGGAGATGGTGAGTCAATAGGGGGAGAGGGTGAGTGGAGAGGGGGAATTGTGAGAGGCGAGGGGGGGTGAGTAGAGATGAAGCAGTGGAGAGGATAGATGTCCTCGGTAAATACTGGTACCTTACGAGAGGTATTGAGGTGCCTCAAAACTGTTTTGAGTCGACTCAAAACACACCGAGAGGTATTGAGGTGCCTCAAAACTGTTTTGAGTCGACTCAAAACACACCGAGAGGTATTGAGGTGCCTCAAAACTGTTTTGAGTCGACTCAAAACACACCGAGAGGTATTGAGGTGCCTCAAAACTGTTTTGAGTCGACTCAAAACACTCCGAGAGGTATTGAGGTGCCTCAAAACTGTTTTGAGTCGACTCAAAACACACCGAGAGGTATTGAGGTGCCTCAAAACTCTTTGCACCTTTTTCCTTGATCATTTCCACTTGTAGTATCATGCACCATGGTAAACTGCATCATTTATGTTGTAACTTAAGTTAGTAATCGTTACCCTTTCCCAAACTCTCTCCCTACCAGATTGGATCCCTCCTCTTGCAGCATCCCACCTCACTCCCTCCTTCACTCCCCTCTCTGCCACTGCCACCAGCACTGCCACCAGCACTGCCACCAGCACTGCCACCAGCACTGCCACATGGCTGAGGATGCTCAGCCTGTTTGGTTGTGTGCGATTGAAGTTATTGCCACATGATTTGACGCAGCTGAAGGTGCTGCAGTCTGTGAAGGCTCATGTAGCAATGATTCCCGACTTTCTGTTTCAGATGGTGCAACATAATTGCCTAATATGGTATATTGAAAAACACGAACATGGAAAGGATTTGTGAAAAGGTGCCAGCAAGAATCTGAATGCAAGTGTCGGAGCAGCCGATTGATATACACCCACTTATTCGTTTGATGCACTCGCGATTGTGCTACCAGCTCGGTACGTTCACATAGAAGGTTGGGAGCGATGCGTTTATGTCACAGAATCGATTCACACGCGTGATCAGCTCAGCATTGAATTGCTAAACGTTGAAAAAAAATGGTGGCAGAGCACTACAGTTGCACGCATTCGCGCTAAAGACGAGGCCAAATTAGTTATGATTAGGTCAGGCCGGCCTACAGTTGCAAAACGTATTTATAGCCCCATTTTGGGAGCAAGGGACGGCAATACGCAGGGAAATGTGACTCGCAGACGTTAAAAGCACTGGGCAAAAACAACAAGCACCTCCGACCAAAGCGCTCGGTGAGATAAACGAATAAGTGGGTGTACATTTTACAGTAAAACACCAAAGTACCATCGGCTGCTCCAAAACACCAAAGCTGAGACTGCACCCCTCCCACATGTGGGTACCTGTTAAAACACAAATCTCCCATCACCATCACACTGCGCCCATCTCAGAGAACAAAGGGACAAACATCAGTTGAACAAAATCTCTTTGGTAGTTACCCTATATGTTCAGCTATGTTGAATGTGTAACTGGCTCTGAACAAAGAAACGTACAACATTTCAAGCACGTTAGTAACTGCTGAAAGCGCGCACTGTCCTATTGACAAGACACATGAGGGCTGGCTAGCCTGTAGCTATTGTAGAAATGTAAGTGCATGAATGACAGTGGTTGTGTCCAGGCAAGCTGCCTTGCAACTGTAGCAAAAACCGTGGGCTTGAGGTTGGTGGCTCAAAGGAAGGTGCTACTGATTGTCAGCCGTAACGATTGGAGATTCCACTTTTGCACGTCAATAGCATAGCGCACGAGATAACAATGGCCAAGCGTATGTGTATTGTACCCATAGTCATGCCGGAGTGGTGCGGGTGCAGATGAAGGCATGCAAGGTTATAAATAGATGAGCATGCAGGCAAGCAGATTAAACATAAGAAATGTCCATAGTAAACACAGGCAAACCACGCTGCAACAGCGCAAACCAGTCAGGGGTGACCACATGAGGGCCAAAGCGGTCACGATAGAGGTCGTCGAGACGGCAGAATCAGCGCGCAGCGGAGTGATCGTGACGCCTGCAGACTGTGCCAGCGCCTGGACCAGTCAGAAGTCGGTACTGGCAGGGACTGGCGTCCCAGCAATGCGATACCTGTCTGTCCGGGCCGCCACCGTGGCCGATGCTCACCAGGCCACTAGGTCCCCACTGCTGCTGGGAGGCCCACTCCTGGATCTGCTGATGCTGTTGCGACGACTGCTGCTGCTGCTGCATCACTGCCACACACCCAGGACCAGCACCTCATCTGGCCATACCACCAAACCCGGAACCTCCTCCAGCGCCAGACCTCCCAGACGTACCAGCACCTCCACCACCTCCACCCCCTCCACTCCTACGACCACTCTTGCGACGTCGCTGCCCACCAGAGGCAGCAACTGCTACAATATTCGTCGGGGCAGCAGGCTCAACTCCAGCAGCGGAGGCAGCGGAGGCACTGAGCAGAGACGGGGTGCACCCCTCAAAGATAGGGGGAAGCACCGTACCATGAACGAAGGCTAGGGTGCGTAGGGGAGTCTCGATCTCAGTGAGACGCGTCTCAAAGAGGTCGATAGTGAGGGTCGTGGGGTGCACAGTGAGGAGGTGATCGCGGGCAGCCACGAAGCGATCAGGAAGGCGGGTCGCGAGGAGATACAGTGTGATATACATGGGGGGCGGATTCTTAGCAAGAAACTCAGTAGTGCAAGCAGCGCGGAACCTAGCGTCAAGCGAGCGCAGGTGCTTGACCAGGTCACCGACGGTGTGGAACGAAGGGAGATCAGGAAATAGGAAGGGCAGAAAGAGGCGGCCTAAAGTACCAGGCGAAGGAGTGGAGTAGCGAGCGATAACAGCATCCAAACACTCCTTCGCGGTCTTCACCTGGTTGAAGTGCTTCCGCTCGGCCGGCGGGAGGTGGCGACGGATGGCGAGGTGTGCAGCAGCGTCGCGTCCCTTCCAGTCGCTGTACTCCAGGCGAGCCGCGCGATATTCCTCCTTCTGCGCCGGCGTGGCGTCAGCGGCAAGATCAGAAGGACATGGCGGGGTTGGGAGCTCACCCGAAGCGTGGTCGTACAAGGAGACGCCCTGCTGAACCTGGCTCGTCAGGTAGAGCTTGACTTGGGGCAGCCACTCATCAAAGTCGATCGCACGACCCTCCGCATCGAAACGTAAGACCGACTCAATCGCCACAGCAGGAGGCAGAGGCACAGCTGCAGGAATATAAGATGTTAGGAAAAACCATAAAGATTTATGAGTGCTGATAAGAGTGCAAAAGCAAGGTAGAAAAGACATTGAAATCATCCACTAGGATCGCCACAGATCAACGCTCCTTGTGAGCAATGAGAGTTTAGTGCAGAGGGTTGAGTGCAGAGCGTCCGTGCCAAATGCGACTGAGGGAAGTGAGGGAAGGAGGAGGCAGAGGGAGGACGCAGAGGAAGGATGGAGGGAAGTCAAAGGTAGGGGATTGGTGGGGAGGGGAAGAGGGAGAAGGCAGAGGGAGGAGACGAGTGGGCACGGCAGAGGGAGGAAGCAGAGGGAGGAAGCAGAGGGAGGAGACGAGGGAAGGAGGCACGGGAACACAAGTGAAGTAGTGGCACAATGGTCAATCAGTCTATTGATCAACCCTAATTCAGAGCAACAAGGGTGGAACCTTTTGAGCCGCCTCGAAAGTCGTAAGGTAGTGCCACGATGGTCAATCACTCTATCAATCAACCCTCCGTGAGTGCAACAAGGGTAGAAACTTGACAGAGTGACTGGTTTCCAACTTACCCAGGACTTTTGAAGTTGAAATTACTAGCACGCTTCTGCTCTTCCTTTGCCAGCTTGCAAGAAACGGGGTGGTGGTTATCAGCAGCGCCGCATACAGTGGTAACCATATGCACACAGGCTAAGGATGCTTTTTGACAACTCTCAAGGAGTTTTAAGAGTTCTCAAGGGGTTTTTTAAAATTCCCAAAAACGGGGTAGTGGTTACCACCAGCACCGCTCACAGTGGTAATTAAGCATACCGATACAAACTGAGCTGTGGTTACCAGGATGGTCGAAGCTGAAGTCACTGGCGTGCTTCAGCTCCTCCTCTGTCAACTTGCAAGATACGAGGTGGTGGTTACCACCAGCACCACGTGAACAGTGGTGCTGAGAGAAACAATATCCGACTGCATACCCGACTGCATACCACCACCAGCACCACGTGAACAGTGGTATTCCAATGCATACCCGACTGAGAGAGCTGTGTGGTTACCATCCTACCAGGATGGTCGACGTGAAATAGATTTATTTTTGAGACGTCTGAGAAACAATATTAAATCAATGATTGGTTACTAGCTTACCAGGATGGCCGAAGTTGAAATCGCTCGCATGTTTAAGCTCCTCCTCTGTCAACCCACGGTAGAAGGAATCCTGTCAGCATGCAAGCAAGCGAGGAAAAAAGCAAGCGAAAACAAACAGGGTTTTCCTTTTAGTGCACATGCCTATGCCTAAAATAGCCCCTCCTTTGTCAACCCTCGGTAGAAGGAGTCCTGTCAGTAAGCAAGCAGAGAGATTGGGGAACACGCATGTCGCATCTGCATGCTTCACTTCACCTCCTCCTCTGTCAATCCGCAATAGAAGAAGTCCTGTCAGCATACAGGACAAAAAACAAGCAAGCAAGCAGAGAGTAAGGGGAACAAGCACGTTTGCATGTGTACGTCACGTCACTGGCTTTCATGGCATCTCAAACCTCCTCACTGGCATGAGTCAGTTCAGCTCCTCCCCTCTCAACCCTCGGTGAAAGGAGTCCTGGCAGCACGCAAGCCGAGAGCTTGGGGAACACGCATGCTGTCATGAATGGGTCTTGAGGCATCTCAAACCTCCTCACTGGCATGCATGCGTAGGTTCAGGTCCACCTTTGTCAACCCTCGGTGAAAGGAGACCCGCCAGCACGCAGGACAACAAACAAGCAAGCAAGCAAGCAGAAAGTAAGGCGTCGCAAATCTCGCTCGTCCCTGGCAAGTTTCAGTTCAGCCCCTCCTCGGTCAACCCTCGGTGAAAAGATTACTTTTGAGGCGGCTCAAAAGTTTCAGTTCAGCTCCACCTTTGTCAACCCTCGGTGAAAGGAGTCCCGCCAGCACGCAGGACAACAAGTGTGCACGTACAGAGTTTGGGGAAGTTTCAGGCTTTCCGTGCATGTGCGTGTGCACGTCACTGGCTTTCCGTGCATGTGCGTGTGCACGTCAGTGGCTTTCCGTGCATCTGCGTGTGCACGTCACTGGCTTTCCGTGCATGTGCGTGTGCACGTCAGTGGCTTTCCAGGCGCCATAAATGCCGTCACTGGCAAGCTCCAGCTCAGCCCCTCCTCTCTCAACCTGGGGTAGGAGCCCTGTGCCAGTAAAGCAGAGAGTCTGGGGGACACGCATGCGCATCTGTACGTCACTGGCCTTCCAGGCGTCATAAATGCCGTCACTGGCAAGCTCCAGCTCAGCCCCTCCTCTCTCAACCTGTGGTAGGAGTCATGTGTCAGTAAAGCAGAGAGTTTGGAGGACACGCATGCGCATGTGCACGTCACTGGCTTCCCAGGCGTCATAAATCTTGTCACTGGCAAGTTTGAGCACCCTATCTCACCTGGAGCACCAGCACCAACCTGTGGTCGTGCAGCTGCTGAATGATCAACTGCTGAGTTGACTTCACAATCACAACTCCTGCTAATGCACCATGTTGCACCACACTGCACCGCATCTCACCTGGTGCACCAGCACCAGCCTGTGGTCGTGCAACTGCTGAATGATCAAATACTGAACCAACTCAATGATCACACCACCCCAGCTGGATCACCAGCTTCATCTCCTCTTTCCCGGTGTACCACTTTGTGCCACACTCCACTGTATCTCACCTAGTGCACCAGCACCCACCCAGTCGTCATGCAGCTGCTGAGTCGACCCAGCACTTACAAAACAACCCCATCTCCTCTCTTTCCTTGCACCGCTTTCCACCGCACTGCACCTGATCTCACCTGGTGCACCAGCACCCACCCGGTGGTCGTGAAACTGCTGAATGACCAACTATTGAGTCAACTCGACAACCACAACTCCAGCTTCTCTCTCTCCTGACGCACCGCTTTGGCAGCAGGGGGTTGGCTGTCGATGGAGGGGTGGAGGCCTGATATTTGCACCTGACAGCTGGTCTGGTTGGGGGGAGGGAGGGAAGGGAAGACACACACACGCAGGCGACTATTGAGGTAAGGAAGAGGCAGCAGAGGGGGTGGCTGTCAATGGAGGGGAGGAGGCCTGATATTTGCACCTGTGAACTGGTCTGGAGGGAGGGAAGGACAAAGAAGAATGCTAGCGCCTTGAAAGCAGCAGTGTAATCAGGGTGGGGGAGGAAGAAGAGGCAGCAGGGGGGTGGCTGTCGATGGAGGGGTGTAGGCCTGATATATGCACCTGAAAACTGGTCTGGTAGGGGAGAGGGGAGGACACACAACCAAAGGCGACTGCTGAGGTAAGGAAGAAGAGGCAACAGGAGGATGGCTGTCAATGGCAAGGTGGGGTGGAGGGGAGGGGAGGCCTGACACGTGCACTTGAGAGCTGGTCTGTAGGGGGAGAGGGGAGGACACACAAGCACAGGCGACTGCTGAGGTAAGGAAGAAGAGGCAACAGGAGGATGGCTGTCAATGGCGAGGTGGGGTGGGGTGGGGGGCTGACATGTGCACTCGAGAGCTCGACCGGAGGGGTGGAAGCTTTGATATGTGCACTTGGGAGCTGGTGTGGAGAGGGGGAGAGGGGAGGACACACAAGCACAGGCGACTGCTGAGGTAAGGAAGAAGAGGCAACAGGAGGATGGCTGTCAATGGGGGAAGTAGGGTGGAGGGGACGCCTGACACGTGCACTTGGGAGCTGGTCTAGAGAGGGGGAGAGGGGGAGAGGGGGAATGGGGAGGACACACAAGCACAGGCGACTGCTGAGGTAAGGAAGAAGAGGCAAAAGGGGGATGGCTGTCAAAGGAGGGGTGGGGTGGAGGGGTGGAGGCCTGATATGTGCACCTGAGAGCTGGTCTGGAGGGAGAGAGACGAGAAGAGAGGGGAGGAGAGAGATGCGAAGGAGGCTGCTGAGGTGACTGAAAAAGGAGGTGGAGGTGGAGCCCATATGCACACGTGCCTGGCACGTGCACCTGGGAGCCGGTCTGGAGGAAGAGAGGGGAGAGCACATACACATGCTCAGACAACGTTTGAGGTGCCTCGAAGAGGGCGTCGAGGCCTGACCCGTGCACCTGGGAGCTCGTCTGGAGAGAGCGAGGGGGAGGAGACAACCATGCAAAGGCTCTAGTACCGCCAGGGCGTACGAACCAGCCTAACCAGCGTAGAACTTGAGCTGCAGCGAGCCGAGCCACCGCAGTGAACAAGCAGCGCGCGCCAAGTGTGCAGAACAACGCAGCAAACCAGCAGCGCGCCGAGCCGATTACCTCGAAGGTTTTCTCGAGATCTTCCACATCCCAAAAATGGGTTGGGGTGTGCAGTAGGTTTGTGAAAGTTAACTTTCTGTGCGGGTGGATGGGAGTATGTTTCTAGTAGGTTCAGTAGTTAGACTAGTAACTCTCACGTAGATTCTGCCAACTTTCGGAACTAGGGTGGGATGAGTTCGAAGTAACATCGCGGCAGGTTTTTTAGTTGGCCAACCCGAACCTCCCTAGCCTATCAGCCTTGTTTCGAAACTGTGCACCACAGCATGGTTTGAAAAATGTACAGTAGTTTCTGCTCTGTTTCATAATTATACGCAAAATAGTGTGATTGTCACAACTTCTGAGTTTTTGACGGATGATTAGGGTTCAATTAATCTCATCAAATATAATTATGTAAAGCATTCGACAAATTAGATTATAGTAATTACTAATGTCAATGTAATATATTTCGAGCTACTATAAGCCTAAGTTTAGTCAAGTATTTATTTTTAACCATTTACAATTCGTGAACACCTAACATGTTGATGAAAGATCATGAGGGTTTAGTGCAATATATAGCTACATGCAGAGTGCGTAAGATGGAATGCGCGTCAACAATCTGAAATCGTACATCACGTCGCGATTCGTGCAACTTTGTGCAGGCCGCGACCAGGGACGTCGCTGGTAAAGAAGGCTGTCTTAGAATCAGACAGAAGTTCTAGCCTTAGTCTGACCATGAGACGGATTTGTTAGCACTGTCTAACCTTTCAAATGAAAGTGGTTTGTATTGTTTGTCGATTCAGACGATGTTAAGATACTAGTCTGTAGCTAACATTAACGTTACAAGTCAGCTAACTTACTGAGTCTCGCTATCAGATTCACTAGAACTAACAGAGCAAGAATCCTCGTCATCATCCTCTGATGCTACGACTACTTGACGCTTCTTCCTCCTCCACGCGGGGATGAGTGCCCCCTCGGCGGCTACTTTTTTCTCTCTCCCTCGCCGCTGCCGCCTCTGCTTCACGCGCAGCTCTTGAGGCTGCGGCTGCTGCTGCTTTCGATGCTGCGACTGCTGCTGCTTGAGCCGCCTCTGTTGCACGCTTTGCTCGCTTCACAGAGCGCCCCGCCTGTGCCATCACGCCCTCCTCCCGTGCCATACCGACATGATCCCCTACGGCTCAAGCTCGTAATCAAGCAATGACACCGTCATCAGCTCCCCGAGAGTTGCAATGCAAAGGTTGCTGCGAATCCAACTCTTGATAACGTTCCGCCGGCTAAACCCCCGCTCGCACTCAACTGTGCTAAGCGGGAGCACGGCCACTACCATCCACAGCCTGACGAGGTTCGGGTAGGCTGCGGTCCAGTCGTCGCTCGCGAGCATGTGCTTCAAGCTGTCGTGGAACGAGAGGTCCTCATGGTGGGTAGCGATGATGTTGGTGAAACTTCACAACTCCTTCTTAGCCTTGCCCCAGTGGATGCCTGTTGATCCAAATGATAGGGAGGGGGCAGCCGGACCGCCATGATGGACGCCGCTGTTGAGATAGTAGTGAGAGTAAGGCGCCTTAGCTAGGAGAACCCTAGCTAGGCAAGCGAGAATTGAAGCAAAGGAGAGGGATTTCACTAGCAGCAGCAAGGATACATATAGCAAACCCTAACAGGGTTGTACTCGCTATAGAGCACCCCACTACAGGCTAGTGAATATAACATTCTGACACACCCCCCTAGCCAAAGTGGGGTGTAATCAGCACATTAAGTAAAGCTAGAGGCTAACACAGCGGGCAAGTGAGGAGGAGGAGGGACAGTGAGAGGAGAGGAGATAGGAGGCGGCGGCTGAAGCTGCAGACACACGGGCAACAGGAGTGGCGAGCACAGTGGCTACCGGGACAGCGCCCCGGACTACAGGAGTAACTGGCTCCGCGGCTAAGACGAGCGGCAAGAGCTACGGACCCACAGGCGACTGGCGCAGCGACAAGCTCACTGGGCTACCGGGACAGCGCCCCGGACTACAGGTGCTGCGGACGACAAGACGGCAGTCTCTGCTCAACCTCCCGCAAACAGTCCCACACACCCCCCACACACCCACTGCTTCACCCTAGCTCCACTCCCCCGTCACCCCCCAAGTACCACTCCGACGGTTCCACTCCCACATCCACCCCCCTCAGCGGCAGCTGCAGCAGTGGGAGACTGAAGAGGAGGAGGAGCAGGTGGAGGAAGTCACAGCCGACACCCCCATAGCCGCCACCCCCAAACCCTAATCCAGGAGAACGGGCTGTAGGAGGGGTGGGGCGCCAGTAGAAGCACGGGGGACAGTGGGGAGGGCAGGGGCAGCGAGGAACGGGCCGCCCACGGGCCTGGCACAGCCGCCCGAACCGCGCGCAGGCGGCCCGAGCCGCGCGCGGGCCTGGCGCGTCCCGTACGGGCCGCGCGCGGGCGTGGCGCAGCCCGTACGGGCCGCGCGCCGGCTGTACGGGCCGCGCGCAGGCCACGACGGGCGACGGGGGGCGACGCGCGGGTCCCCGTCGCCCGTCGCAGCGCCTCCCGGGGGCGACGCGTCGAGTGACGGGGCAGAAACCCGCCGCGCGCCTCGGGGCGCACGGCGGGCTGAAAACCCAGAAAAAAAGGAAGAAGGCGTCGCACGCCACGGGGCGTGCAACCGACAGAGTAGCAGTAGCAGCGGAAGCAGTAGTGGGGCCCACAGGCCAAGGACGTAACCGCTCTGATAGCAGGTTGAGATAGTAGTGAGAGTAAGGCGCCATAGCTAGGAGAACCCTAGCTAGGCAAGCGAGAATTGAAGCAAAGGAGAGGGATTTCACTAGCAGCAGCAAGGATACATATAGCAAACCCTAACAGGGTTGTACTCGCTATAGAGCACCCCACTACAGGCTAGTGAATATAACATTCTGACAGCCGCGTCACACTTGTCGACGGACAAGTTGGCGAAGAACTCTGTGACGACAACCCCATGCTTGATAAACGTGAGGTATACGATGAGATGTTTCCCGCGCCGCCTATTGGTGCTTTCGTCAAGGTGAATCCCGAGGAACGGACTCTCACGGATGTGTCGCAATTGCTGCGCCTTCAGGTACGAGACCATCGTCGGAAGAAATCTTCGTGAATAGGGTTGCTCCAATGGCTTGGCCCGGGGTGGTGGACCTGCCATGCGCTTCTCCGACAGCATGATGTTATCTCGGAAGCCGCCATATGCGCCGCCTATATCTTCGAACATGGAGAGAGGTACCAGCTACGACCAGCGCCGCGACGAGACCGGGAATGCCTCGCCTTCTACGCAGGTAACACAGCGGAGCAACTACCGCGGTGTCGGTTACGGCAAAGTTTGCAGAAAGTTTGGGCGCTAGGCTGAGCGTTTAAATACCGATCTCGCCGTCGCCAGACCAGTTCGAGCCCTTAGTCCGGCCGACAAGACGCACGAAATGACACGGCGTAAAGCCCCCAACTATCAACCCCCATCGCGCACCCTGAACCCAGAGGTTCCGCCCCAGCAGAATCCGCCGTCTGCAACGCCTGCACTAGTTCGCCACACCATCGGGAACATGGCCACAACAAGTGATTCACGTCGCCGCCGCGCGCGCTCGCTGCACCAGAGGCAGCACGCTATCCAATCGATGCATTCACGAACCTTAATCTGCTCAGCACCCGCCACGCCTTCAACAACGATGGCGCCCAGTACTGCAACCTTCCTGTCCAAGTGCTGAAATGCTTATCCCACGTACATGATATGTGGGTGGCACAGATCGCTTGGATCTCGCGCGTGCAACATTCGAAGTTTAGAGACACCGCACATCGTCTTTCCGCGTCTGGCGTCGCTCGCACGTAACGATCGCAAGCGCTTCAACACCTCGTACCTGGATAGCTGCTGCGGAGAGCACATGGTTGGGTGCGAGCGTCTTGTCCACAACGCTAGGGTTAACCCCAATGGACACCTTCGTTATTGTGGACAGCAACACCCGCCGGCGCGCAAGTGCGCAAGTCACGTCGTGCTCAAAGCACGAGGAAGCCGCATAGACATCTCACATAAGGACGTGCTGATGATATAGAACCTGCTCTATGACCTGCTTTCCGCCACTGCAACGCATAGATTGTTGCGTCAAACTCAGCACGTTTCGCGAGACGCAAGCAGACCGGACAGGTTCGTCGAGATTGGAAACGATGATGGGTTTACGTCAAGGAAGGGTGGCATATGAGAGTGTCGAGAATGTATGTCTCCCCACTAAGGCAAGGCCCCCAACAAATTAGATGAATAATAAACCTATACTTTGACTTGGCACACCCAATAGACGGAGTGTGCAATCCGGCTGGTATGATTTAGGATTGCAGCGGAACAGGTTGATCGATCTCGTTCCACTGCGCGTCGAGCACATTCACCACAGGAAATTCCAAAACATCCTGACGGCCCGCCGTGTATAGCGCATCTCTCTCACCCACGTGTTCTGGAGCTGCACGACCCTGACCCTGATGGCCTCTGAAGTGATTGCCGCATGCACCCGAAGAAGATGACTTGAAGGTGTACCCACCAGGCCTGTCGCTACAAGGGCATTTGCCCGTTTTACCTTTGAATTGAATTGCTGGTTCGGCCACAGCTCCGATTATTCAAGGGCTGGCTCGGAGGCCAAACCCGTTTTCCTTACGGGCTGGTTTAGCGCCTAACCCGGATTTCACGTATACGCTCAGAGCCCTCACCTACCACCCTACCCCTTTGTTTCACTTGATATGTCTTCCCATTTGACATACTGACGCACCGCGACCCCTGAGACATCATCAACTGGGGCAACAGACCGTCCATGCCACGTCGCACCGTCCACGGTCCTGCTCTCGAGCCGCTTCAACCGATTTTTGTCCCTTGACACATCACTTGGACTTACATTCCCTTCTACGTGATTATTGACAGAGAATTCATGGTGCTGATGCTAACGACATCGATCGACGAAGAAAATGTCACGACGCGGCAGCAAAGGAACCCACCCCAACGCTAAAGGGAGACCTTCGACGAATGGGCACGCGCTACATCCGCACCTTACATTCCGTTTGAGTGTTG